CATTCAGAGTAGAAACTTAATCTGTCTATGACATTTAGAGGTGGAGCCTTTAGGAAGTGATTAGAATTGAATAAAGTCATCAGGGCAGAGGCCCTATGATTAAATTACTGGTGGCTTTATGAGAAGTGGAAGAGAAACCAGAAGATACACACATATACTGTCTCTTCCCTGTGATGCCCTGTAGTACCTTGGGACCCTGCCACATGAAGGTCCTTGACCTTGGTCCAGAACCATAAGCCAAAGTAAACTCCTTTTTCCTTAAAAAATTGCCTAGACTTAGTTATTTTGTACCAAAAATGTTCTACTACAAAGGACCTCAGGAATCTTATAACAATCTTCACTCTTTTGCTTAAGCAAAAAGTAGATTTCTATTAATTACAACCCTTTTGCCCAAATTGAGACAAGCTTACTGCTATTGGCCTTCAAAAATCTGAATACAAACATCTAGCAATATTGTTCTAAGACCTTCTATAATAAGTCTCTCTTTTTAAATGACTTACACTCACTGCTAGTAAAAGAATTAATAGCATAATAAGCATGCCTGGACCACCATTAGTTTATTTAAAGCATTAGAAAAATTGCTTGTCAGCACCAAATGTTTTCTTTTCCTATCTCCATTTGTCCCAACTGTTAAAAGACAAGACTTATTAACAGCACCATCCTTACAAGAGTTAGAGCCTTTTGCAGCAGGTGGTACCCACCTCCGCCTACAGAATTCCAGCCCAAACACTCTGCTCAGAATTGGTGAGAAATCAGTAGAATGTGCCTTATGACTCAGCCTGTTAAGTAGGAAGACTGTTATTGTTATTTTAACTCCTGCCAGAGTATGTAGGCAATTCTTCCTCTTTTTGTCTGCAGATAACCATGAGAGATCCCTCTTTAATAGTTCTTGATTAATAAGAACCCAGAATGATTTGAGGCCTGGGTATGACTGCCAGCTGATAATACACAGTAGGATAGTTTTCCTCAAAGACAGCCTCTGATTTCTTAATTTACTAATACCATTTATTTTTAGAATGTTTGATCCACCTTGAAAATCATTTGCACAGAGTGCCTTGCACTGGAGTGCAATGTTTATGAGGTAGTAATCAGTGCAAGTCCAGGTGCTTATTTTCAGAAGGGATGCTAAATATACCAGTTTTAATTCTCTTTTTCTGAACTGCTGGGGTGGTGAGGTCCTACTGTTTGTCTTTTTCTTGCCAACTCTTCTCAAAACATAAATAGTCATCAAGTGCTGCTCCTAAGAAAATTGCAAAAAATAAAACCAAAAAACCCTTCTCTTATACAAAAACCTGCTTTGAATGGCGGATTCACTCACCTGTGAATGGTGATATGATGTGAATCTACTCTGAAGGTAAAGTAAAACCTGAACAATCTGAGAATGTTGCAAATCTTAGTATTATTTAATTAAAAGACTAGAATAACACATATTTTCTACTCTTTCAATGTTTTTCTCATGTCTATCTAGCTAATTTATTCCTAATTTTTCTAGGTGGTTTTGGGTTTTTTTATAAAGTAAGATTCAAGATTATACATCAGCAAAGTAAAGTTTTTTATGATGCTATAAAATCACGGGTCAAGGGCTGATGGCATGGCTCACGTGGTAGAGGGCCTGACTAGCAAGGATGAGGCCCTAAGTTCAACTCCAGTACCACCAAAAAAAAAAAATTCATGGTTCATGAAAGTGCTTGAGAGTATTGCAGAGGTTATGGGCTCTGTTAAGACAAAGTAAAAGAATCCTTAAAAGGGCAGCAACCATCACTAATGTGCACTGATGGTAGTGTGTGTGCAAAACATCACCCTGAATTATTTTACAGTGACACCTGCATACCTAGACATCCCTTCAATGAGGGAGGATTCATCAATATAGGTGGTGGTTCTAGGTGCTGATGACATACCTCAGAACATGATACAGTCTTTGCCTTCAGTGGGAGAAGACAATCTTGAGATGATGTCAGGGAAGCAGAAAATGTTGGTTTATACAGCACCTTGTTGACCTATCCATCTACAGTAGGAGAGTGGGCTTTATTCTATTATGGACAGTCACTGGTGGAGTTTGAATAGTAGAGACTTATCAATTTATTAAGGTTTTTACAAAGGATCACTTTGACTTCCACATGAACAATAGTTTACAGGAGAGGGCAACTGGTCTCAAGGGGCTACCACAGTGGTAAAAGAGAGAGAGGGTTTGAATGTTACAGGCGCAGGAGCTGAGATGTAACATGGACAGTTATGGGCATGCTGTCATAGTGATCCATGAGGATTAAAGAGGTTAAATAATATGCCTCTAATAGGTGGTGGAAGCTAGCGAAAAACCAATTTTCAGAGCTATTACCCACTGTACTGTAACAGTGAGGTTTTGTGTGAAAAAAAAAGATGCTGATTCTGTAAAAATTAGTAGGACTTAAACTTCAGGGACATAGAATTACCCGTGTTATATTGGAAGTTTTTAATTCTAAATTTTACACAATAATTTTATAGAATAGTAATTAGCAGTATTAGCAAATGATTGCAAAGGACTTTATTCACTAAGTATTTTCACTAGTCCCATTCCATTTAACCTACTTGGCATGGTTGGATGATATCAAAGGCGATCACATGATCAACAATGCTAAGATAGCATAGCAAAATAAAAGTATGTACTTAAATGGCATATCAGTGGTACCTCTGGATGATTCTTCACATTTCCCAGTACACTATTTCCTCATTTTAGGTAGATATTGTATCTTCCTTGTTTGTTTTTTTTTTTAATATCAGCCCCAATGTACATAAAAGTATCCCAGTAAATATTGGTGGAATACATGAAACTTCTATTTATGTGTCAACAAATTCTAGAATTAACCATGGTATTAGAAAACAAATTGAAAAAAAGAATATATTTTCCACTTCTCCCATGATTTTTAGCATATAAAAGCAATTACCATGGATTCCCCCAAATTATTTTTAAGTACCTTACATTTCAAAGGTAGTATTTATACTATATTTGGGAATAATAGTTCTTCTATGGGGAAATAACACAAATTTCAATTATCAGGTTATGGCAAAACTGTGAAAATCATGGGTCCCAGTAGATTAGCAGGATCTTACAAGCCAATTTAAAAACTGTGTTTGTAACTGGAAAAATAAATAAAAGACATGAGAAGGACTGGCATGGTGTTATATATGAGGAGATTTGGGTTCCTTAGATACAAATCCTAAATAGAGACTTTGCAAGTCATGCTTGAACCATTTTAGCAACATATCTTTAAAACACTGAAAGTTATTTAGAAATAATACTAAGTGCCAGAATATAAACATATTCAAAGGAAAAAACCTTGTAAGAGAATGAGTCAACCAGATCTTCATGTGTCAATATGGATGAACCTAAATATAATGGTGGGCGAAGGCAAGCTGGAAAAAGAACATCTAGAGCATACCATTTGTGTATTTAAGATGTGAGTAATCATATGACATTTGTTTCATACACAAGCCACGAAAATATCAGAACACACAGAGCAAACATATCATCTTTACAATTATAACACTTCTTAGGAAGACAGGAGGAAAGCAAAAAGAAAGCAGGAAGAGTTTTTCTTCTTTTTGTGATGGTTTGTTTCTTTAGGGAAGATTTTTATATGGGTGAATGTTAGCATATGCTTAATCCATGTGACAGATACTAAGGTATTTATTATATTTTTAAAAAATCTTTTGGTTTGAATATTTTATAAATTTTCTTTCTCAAAAAAACAAAAATCATAGCCAGGCATGGTAGCTCAAACCTGAAATCCAAACTACTTGGGAGGCAGAGATCTGGAGGACTGTGGTTCCAGGCCAGCCCAGGCAAAAACTTTGTGAGACTCCATCTCAATCAATAAAAGGCTGGGTATGGTGGCTAGGGCTGTCACCCCAGCTACACGGGAAACATAAATGGGAAGATTATGGTCCAGGCCAGCCCAGGCATAAATATGAGACTTTATTCAAAAAAATAGCTAAAGAAAAAAGTACTGGGAGTGTAGCTCAAGTGGTAGAGTGCTTGCCTAGGAAGCACATGACCCTGAGATCAAAAGCCCAGTACTACCAAAATAATAATGAAATAATAATAATAAAGTGAATATTGCAGTGGCCAATTTAAGAATATATATTCAGCACTTCTAATACAAACAAATTTAAATGCATATCCTAGAATTTCCTAGAATGAGAAATCATTCATTTGCAATTTCTCCTGAAGTTTATTCTGCTCTTATCATAAGCATTTTGCGTTTATAAAAGATGTAAGATGAAAAATTTAGCTTCTGCTTATAAACTGAGCTTAAGTGTTTCTCTATTTACTTTAATAATCCTTTAATATATAATGTGTGCAAATATAAAAGTTTGCTTGCTATGAATTTACTGCCCTTTCAGTAAATTCTCTTTTTTTCTTCCATAAATTCAGAAGAAATTAATCAAAATGGAGGAGAATCTGAATGCTAGACATTTCTGCCACATGTAACACTCTCACAATAACCACAGACGCTGGTGGCCCTGCTACTTACTGGCCCCAGACCCATGTACACAACTTCAGGTGAATGTCATGCACCTGACTCCTGTCCCTCTGCCTCAGGCATCAAATCTCTAAAATGGGCATGATTCATTATCTACCTCATACAGCTGTTGTATGGAATAAATGACTTATGTAAAGTAAAGAAGATGTGGGAAGATGCCTAGCATGTAACTGGTGCTAAGGAAATATTGGTATTATTAATCATAGCAGAAGAGACAGGCTCAATTCAATCCTTATTTCAGAGAAAGGTCTTCATTTTTTTACTATTAAGACAGCCCAAACACTATGAGGAGCTACCTTAATAATTCTAAGCCTGTTAGCTATGGAACTCATAGCTGCATTTCTCCCTTACCAAAATGGATTGATATTAAAGTTTTTTAAAATGGTTTTAAAATTTAAATATGGTTAAAATTTTAAAAATGGTTAGCATAGAATTATTTTTCTCAGTTGTGGTTAACTTTCGTAGAGGGTATGGTCTTACCTATTCAAGGAAGTGGCAAAATAGTAAAGTTGGTTACGTCGTGTTCTCAAAGGATTGATAATATACTCTGGCTTCTTCCTGTAAAAAGAATTAGAAAGTTAATGATTTATTCCCTGATCTATGTACATGAATTATATGAGGTATCTCAATAATAAATTCAAGTCATGGACTTTTATTTTCCTATTAGGTAGTTATGGGACTACAAAATGTTTTTCAGGATGGTTCTTTATAGTTCTTATACATGGAGCATCTGTAACTTGCTGCATACTATCTCAAATGTTTGAGACAAAATAGGGACAGAGTAACTATTGGATGCTTTTCCTCATTTTTTAGCTTCACGCCAATGATGCTTCATAAGTATTATATCCAAGTAAAAGTAAGTTTCAATTTGTTTTTAACTAATAAATAGCAGGCAATTGTGCTCTCTCCCAAGATAATACATTCATCCTAATAAAGCATTAATTATATTCAGTAAGCTTTGAAGGACTGGGCCTCCAGCCCAGACTACATTGATTCTATCCAGCACAGGATGGAGGGGAATTTTTTAAGCACTAATTAAATTTTCTCCATAGAGTACAGAAATTATTTTTACATTCAGAATACTAAAAGTCATTCTGGATTAGTAGTTCTGCTTAAAAATGCCAGCTGGAACAATGCAGAATGCTTCTTACTAAAGTGGTACCTAGCAGTAAACAGAGTTCCTTTTTTTCTTCCTCAGGAGACAATGGGATGAAATCATCTATAGGGAAAACTACAAAGGATGACAATGCATAAGGAATTGCAGGGCTGAGGCCCATTTTGAAGTCCAACTCTTATTCTTATACATCGAGAATCTGAATCTGTGCAAGTCTATGTATTTTTCTCAGGGTCTATATGATTTCACCCCAGCAGGGTGGACCCTATCATATCTTCAAGGAAGCCATTACCCTACAGGTAAAGACCTAGAGACTGACACCATGATAGCTACTAATGCTTCTGTAAGACCCAGCAGGAAATGCAAAATTACAAAGACAAGATGTAGATGGCTCAGTGCTTTTCTATGACCCTGTTAAGAGCACTGTGTGTAAGGATAAGAGCAGACAAAATTTTGATTTAACGGTAACAAATATTGACTGGGTCAGTCTTGTATTAAGTGCTTTTTCATGTACTAGCTCATTTGATCTGTCAACATTCATACACAATGTGTAGAGGTAAACAAGTTTATTATTGAATATTGAAGTCAGGAAGGCTTAACATTTAAATATACATACAGAAAATTCTGCAAACATGAAGACACACAGTAGAAGCCCATACTCCCTGTAATAATATTTTATCAAGAAAGATGTGACTATCCAAATCTTTGCACACAGCTTTCTCTCCCCTTTAGAACAATTCAGTGGCTAAATTTGAAATATATATATTACAAATCTATACTAATAAGTATATCTATAAATAATATATTATTAATATATACTACTATACATAACTAATATTATACCTACTTTTGAGATTAGAAAACAGAATAAATATAAGTTTAAGAGACAGTAACAGCAATGAACATCTAGAAGGTGGACAAACTTTTTAGTTATATACAAGCTTTCTTTTTGGTGGTACTGGGGTTCAAACTCAGAGCCTCATGCTTGCTAGACAGAAGCTCTACCACTTGTGCCATGCCACCAGCCCTTTCACTTTAGTTATTTTTCAGATACATAAGGTATTGTGCTTTTTGCCTGGGCTTGCCTAGACCATGACACTTCTACATATGCCTCCCATGTTGGTAGAATGACAGGTGTACGCCACCACACCCAGCTTACTTATTGAGATGGGGACTTTTCTGCTCAGGTTGGCCTTGAACCAAGATCCTTCTGATCTCTGCCTCCTGAGTGGCTGGGATTATAGGCTCTAACCACCATACCTGGCCTATATACCAGTTTTAATAGACTGAGGATTGGTTTTAGATCTTCAGCTCTGGTGAAAGAGTTTTAAGCATAAAGGTTTACAGCTCCTCTGAGAAGTGTTATTTCACTGATAGCACCTTTCAATTTACTAGAAATACTAAGAACATTTATCATTCCACATATTCAATTTTGTGAAAAAATTGAACTTTGCTTAGCTCTGATCTGCCTCACATTTTCTCCATTATTTCTATTAGGTTTGTTGATGTCACTTTTTGGGTGCTTGGAGAGCAGAAGATGAATATTGGTGAAAATCACAAGTGATAACCCTGACAAAGGCAATTGGTGACCAATTACAATTAAGAGCTAGCCTGCATAAGATAGAGAAGAGGATGTACATTGTATGTTGGCATCACAAAGTAAGGTGAGCAGATCATTTAAGGAGGAAGTCAAGATAAATAAACATCTGTTCAGCTATAAACCAAGCTAGTTTTTTAATCAGCTGGTTACTCAGATAAATGGATGTGCTTGAAATGCAGTGAGGCTGCCTATAAAGTTGGCACATATTTATATGCAAGTTATATGCCACTTTTAGCATTGAAGTTAGGATGATAATTAATGCAGACTCACAATCTTATGGAAAAGTAAAGCCAGGGTGTGGTTTTCTCAAAGGATGTACAAACTCACATTCATTACACTGCAAAGTCATCACAATAAAATCTTCCCTGGATTGTTCAGCCAGGGTATATTCTTTATTTGCCTTTGAAACACATTCCAGTGTAAGTATCATTTGGTTATTTAATTTCATGTTTTGATAGGCTTTGTTAGGTTAGCAAAACACACATGCTGGCATCCTAATAAAGGTTCAGTATAAACCCAACAACTAGCATTAGGCTATTTAGATAGCTCTCATTTGAGATGTTAATATTGCTCTCTACCTCATCTATCAATCTATTCTATGGGATTTTGAACAGTTCATGTAACTCAGTGCACTTGTCCAGGATCACAAGATTTTACCTATTGAGGATTGAATTTTTGGGACAATCTCTACTATCTAAGCAATCTTTAAATAGAAGAGCAGTTGCCAATATAAGGTTGTTTAGTTTAACATGCTACTAAACCATTTCTATACTCTACTATGTTTAGAAGCAGTTCATTATCTGTTGGTGAGTATAAGAAAGTCATGGTGAACCAGTCACTGATAATTGAGAATGATCCTTCTTTCTTGGGGCTACTCTTAAAGTTCCTTTTAGGAGAACATTACATTTCTTACAGAGGAAATGTATTTCACATATACACTTGAAAGAATTAAGAACTGTTAACAAAATCCTTATTCAAAAACCATGGAGTCTTCGGCTGCAGAAAATCTCGGTAAGGTAGATAATATGAACTGTACTCTTTCATTTCTAAACCTGACACTCTGGGCTACTGCTGATGACAGGCAAGCTGAGGTAAGCTGACTTAGCAGAAGTGATTTACTATTGTCCAAAGGATTTCAATGTAACTTAAGGCAGTAAAAATAGCATACAAAGAAGTAAAGGATAAAGGATTGGGCTCGTCAGGCTTAAATCTCTGAGTCTTTATACAAAATAGGTTCATAACCTGTTCATACAAATTCTGATAGGAGTAGAGTGAGTCTGGGCTACTTCTCTTCCTTGCAATGACCAAGCTATTTGGGTACATTCTTCTTGTGGCCCAAATGAAGACTTTCAGAATTACAGAAGAAGAGGGAGAAGACATCTGAAGTGCTGAACGCTGGCTTGTAAATGCTTTAATGAAGAAGTAACACACACATCACTGCCTTTCATACTCCAGGGGATTGAACATGTCTTTGCTTAAATGCAAGTGGCTGAGAAACATGGAAGATAAATGGATATTCTGTGAGCAGTAAACATCTCCATCACAAGGGGTGCATGAGACTGGCCCGTTAGCTACTTTAGATTCCTTCCTTGTTAACAATACTCACTGGTATCAGCTTAAAACTTACAACGCTAAATTGCTAACATTTGTTGACTCTGACATCTGCATACAAATATTTTATTTTATAAATAAAATATAAATTGACATTGTGATAAAAAGGACCTTGGATAGCAATGGGGCACATGTGTCAGTGTTTTTTCTTATTTATACATTATTCTGCAGTTTTTTTGCTCAGAATCAGAATAGATATGAAGAAATAGAACACTTGCTTGCTTGACAGAAAGCCATCTGTTCATTTCTAATTTTCATACAAACATCAACTTTTTTAACTTATCTATTTGTTTTTAAAGTGACATAAAATTGCATATACCACAGCACATACAGTAAAGCCTACCTTATTGGCAGAGCTAACACATAAAGTTTTGACCAACCTGGTCAAAAAAAAACCAAACCCTCCCTGTGCTCATCATGCAGCTCAGCTGATGTGGAGAAGCTCTCAGTCAGTCCTACATTATCATCAGTTGTGTTTAAATTGTTCCGTGATCTGTTGAGTGTTTCCTTGCCCTTCATTTTGTGAAAATATGCCTCTCAAGAAGCAAATGGTGCTCGGAAAGCAAGGTAAAAGTTATGGTAATCTTCCCAAGTCAAACAGGGCATGTGCTTAGTTTAAGTGATAAAGTGAAATTTCTAGATCTGTTAAAAGGTGGAGATGTCTTTAGAGAAGATGGGTTGCATCGTGGGAAAAATGAATCAAACATCCACAGTATTTGAGACAAAGAACATGAAATAGGGGTCTAGATTTTGGTGAGCATTATTAATGTGTACAAGAGTAATGTGCACACGAGTAATTTTTGACAGTAATGTATCCTACTCCAAGCAGTTTCACATCATGGATGTTCAGACCTACTATATATATGGCATAAGTAAAGTAGTAATTTTAGAGTACTGAACTCCATGCATCCATTGCAGTCTCCTTGGAACTCACAGATACCAAGGGTCTACTGTATACACCCACATATTGTGAAATGGCTAACCCAAGCTAATTAACATACATATTACTTCATATCATTGTCCTTTATTATGGTCAGTACACAAAATCTACTGTTAGCATTTTCAAGAATACAATATATAGCTTTTAACTGCAGTCACCAGGTTGTACAATAGATTTCTTGAACACATTCCTCCTATCTAACTAAAATTTTGTAATATTTCTTCAATGTCTTAATATTCTCCCTCCTATCAATTCAAC